ACCCTAAACCCGAAACCGTAAACCTCCAAGAAGAGCCCGGGAGATCTCAGGATGAAATCGGACAGCAAGCACATGACTGCCTCGCAGAAGGAGCTCTTCCAGAAGCACCGCCTCTTCGATGACAAGGGAATCCTACTACAAGGCTTACGTTATAGGGGTCACTATAAGGGCTTGCTAGGGTTACTATAAGGGTACTAGAAGGGTTACTAGAAGGGTTACTAGAAGGCTTACTGGAAGGGTTGCTATAAGGGTTGCTACTAGACGGGTTACTGTAAGGGTGGCTATACGGGTTGTCATACGGGTTACTATAAGGATTACTCGCTTTTTAAAAGGGTTACTGTACTTCCAGAAGCACCGCCGCTTGCCCGATTAAGCAATGGAATGCCGGCCGTACGAAGTTTGTCACGGTTTTGTGGAAACCCTGCGCCCTAAACCCTAAATCCGTGAGGGTTTGGCATTCATAGTCGGGGAGTTTGGTTTTGTGGTTTTGGCTTGCAGGATTTGGGTTTGGGCCAAGTGGGGTTATATTGGGATCGAGATTTGGGGTTTGGGTTTTGTGTATGGGTTTGTAGGTACGGTCTTTTGGGTGCCAGGTTTGGGTATGTAAGGCTAGTGGGCCTAGACTCTGGATGATTATGGGTTCGGGTGTGGGCCCTAAACCCAAAATCCTAAGCCACACCTTAACCTGCTCGTACACAGGAATCTCAATCAGGAATTAGGCGAAACCCTCAACCCGAAGACAACCCCCTTACTTAGCCAATGTGGAACTTTACCCTTGTTTGGCCTTATATATTGCGTCTATGTTGTCCTAAATCCTAAACCCTAAACCCCTAAACTATGGTCTATCTTACCCCTAAGCCCTAAACCCTCAACCCTACAAAGTTTGGAAATCTCTGGGCCCGGTTATTCAAGAAGAGAGCCGCTGAGGAGTTCAGCTCCTGGATGTCGACTGGGACACGCCGCCGAACATGAAGGGCTACTTGGTTCAGGTGGACCACATTTTGCCATATTTTGGTTTAGGGTTTAGGGGTTAGGGTTTAGGGGTTTAGGGGTTTAGGGGTTTAGGGTCCATACTTTACCATGCTGCATTTCTTTCTGTTGCTACCCTGCTCCTTAAAGTAAAGGAGCCATTGTGAAATAAACCCTCAACTCTAAACCCTAAACCCTAATTTGAAGCTCCGGCCCTAAAGCTCCAAAGCCCTGAACCCCTAAACCCCTAAACCCCTAAACCCCCAAAACCCCTAAACCCCCAAAAACCCCTAAACCCCTGGAGATTATAAGCCCAGGCTACAAGGAAGGCGGATGGTGTGGTCATCAGGACCCGGGGCTTCCCGGGGGGCTCAGAGCTGCAGCTCTCTTCGGATTTCGGGTTTTAGGGTTTTTTGGGGTTTAGGGGTTTTTGGGGTTTAGGGGTTTTTGGGGTTTTAAGGCAGTTTAGGGTGTTTGGGTTTTTAGGGTTTAGGGTTTTTGGGGTTTAGGGGTTTTTGGGGTTTAAGGCAGTTTAGGGTGTTTGGGGTTTCAGGGTTTTTCGGGGTTTAGGGCTTTTGCGGTTTTTGGTGTTTTGGGGGTTTAGGGGTTTAAGGGTTTCGGGGTGTTGGGGTTTTGGTGTTTTGGGGGGTTTAGGGGGTTTAGAGGTTCAGGGTTTTAGGGGTTTTTGGGGTTTAGGGCTTTTGGGGGGTTTAAGGAGTTAGGGTTTTGGGTTTTTGGAGTTTAGGGGTTTTGGTGTTTAGGGTTTTTTAGGGTTTAGGGTTTTTGGGGTTTAGGGTTTTTGGGGTTTAGGGGTTTAGGGTTTTGGGGGTTTAGGGGTTGTTGGGGTTTAAGGCAGTTTAGGGTGTTTGGGTTTTTAGAGTTTAGGGTTTTGGGGGTTTAGGGGCTTTAGGGGTTTAGGGGTTTAGGGGTTTTCGAGTTTAGGGGTTTAGGGTTTTTGGGGTTTAGGGCTTAGGGTTTGGGGGTTTAGGGTTTTTGGGGTTCAGGGTTTTGGAGCTTAAGGTTTTGGGGTTTGGGGGTTTAGTTTTTAGGGTTTTGGGGTATAGGGTTTAGGGTCAGGGCAGTTTAGGGTGGACGGTTTAGGGTGAACGGTTTAAGGTGGAAGGTTTTAAGGGCTCAGAGTTGTTTAAGGCCTAGGGTCTGGGATGCGGGACTGCTGCTGAACCCTTAAACCTCTAAACCTCTAAACCCCTAAACCCTCAACCCTAGACCCGCAAGCAGTCGGCGTATTCAAAGCTCTATCTTACCAGGGTTTTCGAGACTGCAGGGACCGAGATCAGGCTCGGCAACTGTCATCCCTTATTGCTTCCGGGATTTCGTTTCGGGCTTCTCACACTCCTAGGTTCCTGCCGCAAACCCTAAGCCCCTAAACGCCGTAGGTTCCTCGTAGTAAGTAAGGTTATGACGGGTTAGGGTTTAGGGTTTTAGGGTTTAGGGCCGGTTTAGGGTTGCGGGTTTTAGGGCTTGGGGTTTAGGGAGGGTTCGGGGTACTTAGTGCCCTTTTGCCCTTTTTTTTTGGTTGCCCTAGTAAAGCCGAGCATTAGGAAACAGGGTACCAGGTATTCTTAAGGGGTCACTGGGGAACCTAGAGACGCGCGCGACTCCTCCTAGAAATCTTGGTCCTGACGTTTGAAGGTTTGAGGGCTTTGAGGGTTTAGGGGGTTAGGATTTATGGTTTAGGGGTTTAGGGTTTAGGGACCCTAAACCCTAAACCCCTAAACCCTAAACCCTAAACCCTAAACCCTAAACCCTAAACCGTCATGGTTTAGGGGTTAAGGGTTTAGGGTTTAGGGGGGTTTCATGTCTGGGAAATCCCGTGCCGAGTGCCAGGACTTCATCCGCCTGCACGTCCTTGGCATGGAGGGCTACTTGGTTCCCCAATTCCCGGGTTTAGGGTTTAGGGTTTAGGGTTTAGGGTTTAGGGTTTAGGGTTTAGGGGGTTCTTATAGTTTAGTAGGAACCTGAAAGTTTAGCCTTTTATTTCCCTGGCTTATTGGAGAAGTAAGGCTATGATGCCGTGGCCTACTATGACACCGACATCGAGTTTCAGGCACGTGCTGGCTTGGGTCTTCGGGATGTTCTAACGCAGGGGCCTTAAGAATTTCCTATATACTATTTGGGTTCCCGAATATAAATAAAAATTACAATCGTAAAATATATCCCAAGAGCCGATTCTAATTATTAAGGCTCCTACATTAGGTCCAGGTTCCCTTTTGAAAGAGCAGTATAGGGGCCTTGGTGGCTTCCAAAAGCGTGTTAGTGATGCATCTTACACCCGAACCACACTATGTCAGTAGTTTCCTAAGGAAGAGTTCATATTGACAAGTCTTCCAGCTTCTAAATGTATTATCTCACTGTGGGTTTATGATCACCTAAGACGAGCCCCCGACCATGTGCTGTCCTAGAAATGTAACCCAATAGAGCCCCATTTCACCAGCACACTAGGATACTGGACAAGCAAGCCACATGGGAGTTTCCAAAAATTAGGGGTACCTTGTTTTGGGGTCCTTATAATAAGGATCCCCCTATTCCGGGTAGTATACTAGGGTCCCCTATTTTCGGAAGCTCCCACATGAAGCTCGGGAGGGCGACATCACGCCGGTCCTCCGCTGTGCAGCCTCAGGGAAGTTCCTCTCGACCAATGGAGGCGACAGTCGGGGCTTGCCAGAACTCCCCAAATGCCCCTTCATAGAGCCCCCCTTCTTACCCTAAACCCTAAACCCTAAACCTGAGCCGAGCCCTAAATCCTAGACTATTTAAACACATAATATAGAGGGTAGTTGGGGTCTAGGTACTGTACGGAGTTTTGGGATGTGGGGTTTAGAGTTCAGTGCCTGAGGGGGGTTTGGATTTTGGCTTCAGGGTTTGGGGCGTAATATACGGGTCCTGTAGTCATATTGGGTTCTATAGGTTCCTCTGAGGTCAGAGGGTTTGTTAAGGGCTTCTTGCTAGTCTATAAGGCTGTAAGGTTTACTACTACCTTTTTGCAATACGCATAACCCTGTAAACCCCAATCACAAAACCCCAAAACCCTAAACCCTAAACCTCAGAACCAAAGCCCTCAACCCCAAACCCTAAAGCCAAGACCCTACTCCGTTATAGTGCCGTCGTAAGTATCGTATCAGTATGACATGGGCCCCAAACCTTGTTTAGCCCCTAAACCCTGAACCCCAAAACCCTAAACCCCAAAACCCTAAACCCTACAAAAAAGCCCTACACCCCGAAAGCTGCCTCTTAGCTTTCGCATCTCCAAGGCTCTCAGCGGATCGGGTCCCCTGGGCCGCGCCTTGC